TAAATAGAAAACTAACAAAATAATTATTAAGGAACTAAATAATATTAAAAAAGAAAATTTTATAATGGACTGATCTTCTAATATTAAATAGTTTAATTTTCCATGTTTTGTTAGGTAAAAAAATATTAAAAATAAAGATTTCATCATGGAATAATCAAAGTTTCATAAAATAATGAGTCGATTAGATTTAGACACATGTAAATCTTTCTATTTCATATCATGAATTCAAAATAAAAATGTAAAAGACTACATATCTTTATTTAGAGATTTGTTATCGGGTTTTTAATATTATTTTCTTATTTTTAAAATTGATCAAATTAATAATGAAACAACCAACATTTTTTTTTTTTAATAAATATTAATCAATTCTAGCGAAGGTCTTTAAAATAAATTAAATAAATAAAATATCAATAACAAATAAATCAGTTCAGCGGAAGCAAATAATAATTAAACAAGTCTAGCAAAATAATGCAAAACAATAAAACAGTAAACATCCTATCATCCCCCTCTTCAGCCTTGATTCCGCGATCACACAAATCTTTTACCTGCAACACATTGGAATGGAGTTGCGTAAGTATTTAATAAATACTTAGTGAGGCAATCACTCTGCCTACGAGCCATTTACGCAATTTACTAGATATTTAATAATATTTATAAACTCCAATAATTATTAAATACCATTTTCCAATTATTAAATAATTTTAATAATTAAAACTCATTTCTCAATTATTAAATAATTCTCATAATTAAATAATAATTTTCCATATTTTAAAATAATTAAAATAATTACCAATTAATTAATTAAATATTATTAATTAATTAAATCCGAATTAAATCATTTAATTCCATTAAACCAATTAAATTCAATTAAACCAATTAAATTCAATTGAACCAAGATAAACCAAATTAAATCAATTAAATTCAATTAAACCAATAAACCAGATTAAACCACACAAACACACAATTCATCACATAAACAACCAAAATATCATAAAATAACAATTAAAACATAAACTCATCAAGAACAACCACAAACCAAATCTAATCTAGCAAATCACGGACCCACAGTCATGCACTCACCTTGACAATGGATTGAAACTGAAGGAAAAAGAAGACGATGAACAGTGCCGAATCGCGATGAACAGTACCGATGAACAGTACCGATGAACAGTACCGATGAACAGTACCCGTGAACAGTCCGATGAACAGTAAAACTCGAAAATCTCTCCAAAAACTCCACTTTTCTCCTCTGCAGCCTCTGAACTCGAAAATTCTCCAAAGAGAAGACGGTGCACTCTTTAAACTTGATTTTAGGGCTTTCTCCACTAAACCGGCCCAAACCAAATCACTTAAATTGAACCGACA